ACCAATCATCGGATCACGGAGTAATTATTTATTTATCAATCTATACCGAATGAAAATAAAACTCTAAAGATCGAAATCAAAAACGTAAAAATGTGTGGTACACCAGTAAGTCCATAAAACCTACCGACAATTGCCGCCGTCAGTTGACGGTATCCCCCGGGTGTCGAAAACAAACCCATAACTAAAAAACTATAAACAATTCCGCAATGTTGAATAACTAATGCGCGGCTCAATGTACGCGAGGAAGAGTCATATCGAAATAAAAAACGGCATTTCCTTGAATGGAAATGACTAGATCAAACTGGGAATAACTAGAGCCTCAGAGATATTGTCCGAAGTGTTGTTGGAGGCAGACTGATCACCATAAGGTCGTTCTCGTTGTTTTCCACTCGACAGTTTTTATTTCATTCAGAGGAATTGAAAGTAATGCGAGTAAACTGAAGGATATTCGAAGCTATTCCATTCATCGGAGCCTCTCACTGAAAATTGGTAGATTCCTCAAGTTCCAATAAATCATAACGAACTCCATGATTTATTTATTCCTCAATAATAATCATTCAATAAAAATCTACACGACTGAGATATTAATAATTTCATAATTTCCTAATAATAATACAATTGCACACAAGAAATTGCGCCTGAAAAATATAGAAGAATTATAGATATACGAGAATCAGAGCCTAAAATTTTTATTTTAAAATTCAATCCACATGACCCTGACTAGGTTCTCCGGAATAACTCTTATGTGGAGATATGTTAGGAAGGGTCTGAATTTTCCAAGTGAAAGCTGTTAGAATGCTGGGGGTCAGATCGGCTGAGATCATTATTTTAATGATTTCAAAATCGTAAACAATCTATTACATCAGCAGACCTTCTTCCAGAATCTCATTAAAATTCTTATTCCAGGTATCAATGAAAGACTCAAAAGGCTAACAATCAAGATCCAATTTATTTACAAACAATTAGCAAAAGATTGATATTTACAGAAAAAATGTCGCCTACTGGCCAGATACGTCAGAAATGTCAGTCCTCGTCGCGAGAACCATGAGGGCATTTTCGAGATTCATTTTATGAACTCCAAGTTCAGCCAGGGCCTCTGAACATCTCGTCTCATCCTGATTCTCCAGTGTCTCCATCAGCAGCAGGGCAGAGCCCAGGAGTGTATTCAACAGAATACAGGCTTCCCTCATCCTGAGAAATAAATAATTAAATAACAATAGAGTTCCAACAGAATCTATCCAAATGTTCGCAAAAATATCTGCAAAACCATTTAGTTATTCCATTAATTTTATTTCACGTAAAATATTTAATAAGAAAATTTTAAAACGTTGGAATAAATATCAAGAGTACTCACAACGGAAAATACGATTCCGGTTTATTAGTGTACAGCCCAAAGAGTGGGAATAAATTCCTGGTGACATCGAACTGAAGTTGTTCAGCTCCTCCAACGTTGAACCGATTGACGAGTACAATCTCCTCGAATAAATACTGATCGAGTTGGCCAGCAAGATTTTTCCAGGCAGTGTTGAAGAGCTCGAGGGCAAGAATCTGATGGAGTTTGTGAAGGCCTGAAGCGAGTTCCTGGAACATCGGACATCCACTCGGTGTCACTGACAACGAGACAACTTCCTTTTTGTTCTGCATTGCGAACCACTTGTCAGTTCTGTACGGTCTGCTCTTCGCTTTGACATCCAGCACAACCGACTGACAGATTTCACTCATCAATTTGTTCTCCAATCTATCCAGAAGTGCAACCGCTTCATCGAAGACAGTCCCATCATCTCCAGATACCTCAGACACCTCTGTCCCCTGGTCAGTTGCTAATTCAGCAGCGTCGCATTGTTTTTTGAAGAAGTGGAGTTGCAGAAAGTGCACTGTGACTCCCCACTCCATTAAAACCCTCGCCACATATCGAATAGAGTTTAAAATTCTAGGGATTAAAGACTCGAGTGGATCTTCCCTGTCATCATGAAGAAGCTGCAGCAGCCTGACCCTCCAGTCGTCAATCAGCTCCAGCTGGAGCTCCAGGAACTGCAGTCGATGACCAGGCTGAGGTAAATGATTGTACCTATCAGAAATAGTCGTTAGCAGAGTGAGAAAGGCATCAGCAGATTCAGTGATCTTCATCTCATCACTGTCCTCCAGATTGACCCTCTCCCAGGCAGTACTGGAGCCCAAAATATTTTCAATCTTCTCGATGGCGTACTTCCTCTCCATATTAATCCATTTAACAAATATCTGGGCCTGAGTGAGAACGAAAACAGTTGCCGGCTGACTCTGGGGGTAGCTCAAAGTCTCTCTGAGTTCCCTCTCGAAACCCAAAGCCTCGTCCACCAAATGAGCAAATAATGCATCATCGTACTGCACCACGAGGAGCTCAGACTGCAACTTCTCCACAGCCAATTGGACGAGAGCTCTCATGAACTCGATTTTGGTATTGACATGATGAAATCCCGTGGCATCAGCAACCGGCTGAACATTCCTCTCGGTCCACCTGGCGTGATCCTTGATCCAGGTAAGGATCTGAGTGAAAAACCACTCGGGTTTGTCTCTCCTATTCGTTTGTTTGCTTCCAGTGAAGTGATACTTGAATCTCAGTCCCA